TCTATACTATTTCAAGTTCAATTTGGGACTAATCAAAGTAATTTTGGGAGTTCAAAATGAAATATCCAAGTTCAGATTGGGATGTAGCAAATTCAAAATGAAATAGCCAAGTTCAGAATGGGACGTAGTAAATTCAAAATGAAATAAGCAGGTTTGATTTGGAACGAAGCAAATTCATAATGAAAAAAAAGCAAGTTTGAATAGGGGACTAAGCACATTCATTATAGAAGAATGTTTCAAACTTATTTGCAGGTTTCAATAAACAAATATCATAGATTAAAAAATCAACTGGGCAGTAAATCAGATAATTAAAATTCGCGTTGCGTACATTTTACTATCAATTCTTTAAAAGAGGCTCGTCTTGAACGGATATATCTGTGTCAAAGTTCGAGTTTCTGGCGCTTTCATTGGTAATACAATCAGGAAGAAGACAAGGAGAAAGAAAGAGTTGGATAGATTACATATAGTTTTAAAAAAAGAGATAATAAGAGAGATTTATTCAAATTGAAATGATTTGGAGGACAACAGGGTAAATCTCGAAAGTCCTAAGAAAAAGCACCAAGGAAATACTGAATGCATATATCCAGACAGAGTTTGAAAAAATTGATGTATAGTGAAATATTTTAAGCGCTGAAAGTTGCATCCAAAAAACATACACCTTACATGAATTTTCTTGATTTATTGATTGCCCCTAGAAGATAAAACATTTCAATAGTGAAGTTTAGTTGAACATTATTATTTTATCATGAAAATATTTCATTTTAAAGTCTTTTTTTCGCAAAATAATTGCTCAGTCCCAAATTGAATTTGTCTAATCCATTTTGAACTTGCTAAGTCCCAAATCAAATTTGCTTATTTCATTCTGGATTTGATTATTCATTTTGAATCATCTTTAGTCCCAATTTAAATTTAACTATTCCATTTTGAATTTGTTACATCCTATTTTGAATCTGACTATCCCATTTGGAATTTACTATGTTCCATTTTGAATTTGACTATTCCATTTTGAACTTGGCTATTTCATTAGAAACTTGCTTAGTCCCAAAATGTCTTTGATTTGTCCCAAACTGAACTTGAAAAGAGTATAGTTTTAAAAAATGTTATGTTGAGTTCGAATGAATTCTTTTCAATCGTGGTTGTGATAGGATAATGTCGGTGGTTAAAACAATATATTTTGATTCGTTGTGTTATCAAAATAGTATTTTATTAATTAAAAAATAATTTATATAATAATATTATCATCCTCTCTCTCCCTCTCTCTCTCTCTCTCGATATATATATATATATATATATATATATATATATATATATATATATATGTGCTGAAAGTTATTGTCGAGATAATCTTCCAAAATCTAAATAAATGACCAAACATTAAAATTTTGAGAGTAATTTCTTCTTGGTTGGGCTGACTACCGTTCAGCATCCTTTACAGACACAAACACACACATATACACACACATATATATATGAGTGTGTGTGTGTATATAAATATAAAATCTGGCGTCTACTCAAACATGAGTATCCACAAAAAAATTGGAGTGATAGTAAAATAATATGGAATAAAAATTCATTAATTCCTTATATATATATATATATATATATATATATATATATATATATATATGTGTGTGTGTGTGTGTGTGTGTGTATGTGTGCAAGATGTGAATGTGCGTATGAAGAATTTTACTTTACAAAATCTAAAGTATCCCATTGTAGATGTTTATAGAAAATGGTGAAAATTGAAAAGTTTACATATTGTTAAGAAAAATAAATTTCGTAGGCATGCTTATGAGATAGGTATATAATTTTATTTTAATTTTTTAATCATTTTTTCGCAAATTTACGCTGCCGACTTATAATATAATGTTGATTATTTTATTGCGTTTGAGGATGAAATTTTTCATTAAAAACCTTTATGAAAATGAACTGGCTCATCGTTAATAACCTTAAATCAGCGTAGAACTGCCGCATTTCTGTCTTCGAGTTAGATTTTCATGAAATGAATAAGTGAGGAATTAACCTATCTTTTGTTTCTGTCGACGCCATGTTTGTTTCTGAGTTTTGTGGTCACGTTTGTGAGATTTTCTTTTAACTTTCCCCATCCGTCTCGTCTGACTTTTCGCTGCGAGAGGATTTGGATTCAAAGGGAAATTATCCATATGGATAGCCACGATGACTTTTCTACAAAAGAGAAAAAAGAAAAAAAAAAAAAAAAGAAACTAAAATAAAGAAGCAGACAGAAAGACAAAAGAAAAAGCAAACATAATTGCAAAAAAAAAAACCAAAAACAAAACAAAAAAAACAAAAAAAAAAAACGAAACAAAACAAAACAAACGCGAAACAAAAAAAAAAAAAAAGAATGCATAAGCAATCATATTTGCCGATAAATTCAACTTGAGACAATGATATTAGACTTTGTCCAATTCACGGGTATTATGAATAGGAGACAATAGATGTGTTTTAGCATAAGAAGGGTAATTTTTTAAATATATGTCTCCTTTGGATTAAAGCCCTTAGCAAATGTATGAATCTATCTCTTTTCCTCTAGCTATGGGTCAAATAGTAGGATTTGTTTTTTGAAAAAACTTTGTTATTCCTCACCCCCAAAAAGATAATTCAATATTCACTCGCAAAATATCCATCATTCTCACAATTTGTCAACATTAAAAATTAGCTGTAATAACATTTCAACGCAAAAAAACCCCCTATAAAACCAGAGATCAGAAATAATGTTCCGTTGTATACATAGTATAGTTCCTTTTGAGTTCATTTGACGAGAGATAAAAAGAATGTATGTATATTTTATTTAATCCCCCACTGATATATTTCCAGTATAATTAATTTTCCCGCCTCCTCTTCCTCCTCATCCTCCTCCTCCTCACCTTCAATTACATCTCACGTCGTGTGCTTATTCATTTATTTTTAAATATAACGTTCATAAAAAAATTTATTTTTAAAAAATAAAGCGTTAGGAAATTAATTGAATGAAATCGCCCGAAGATATCGAAAGGCTGAAACCAAGGTAAGCAGAATCGGTTGATTTCCTAAATTTTCTATACTTAAAAGTGCTCTACATGTTAAATTCTGATCTTCTTACATGCACATTGAGCACTTTTTAGTACTACTCTTTCTTGGTCTAATTCAACTCTGACCATTAACTTTTTTACATATATATATATATATATATATATATATATATATATATATATTTTTGTTTAAAAATATGATTCCTTCGCTACATAAGAGTTTTCATGTTTCAAAAACGAGAGCCGAAACCATCCAAATAATTATTAAAATTAAGTTGAATTGAGGTGTTTAGTCCCATTTCATCTTCAAGCAAACCATGCCTAAAACACACGTAAACCAAGAGATAGCTTATTCCTAAAATTTCGCTTGAAGATGAAACGGGACTAAACACCTCAATTCAACTTAATTTTAATAATTATTTAGATGGTTTCGGCTCTCGTTTTTGAAACATGAAAACTCTTATGTAGCGAAGGAATCATATTTTTAAACAAAAAAACATTATAATAAGCTCTATTCTGTATGGAGCACTGTCTTCTTAAAAACAAAAACAAAATAGTAAGGAACCCCGGATTATGCACCCAACGTGTTCTTTTCTATTTTCTGCATACCTGCGCACTTATATATATATATATATATATATATATATATATATATATATATATATATATATATATATATATATAGTTAGATAGATAGATATAGACATATAGATCGATCATAGGAACACGCAGAATAGGAAATATACAACCAGAATATGAAAAAGTTTGACCACACAGTGGTCTTGATGTAATTGCAGACCATTTAGAAGGTCATTATGAGTGTCTTAGTTGTAGCCTTGATAAGTGCTCTAAAATTGTAGCCTTGTGCCAGACTAAAAAAAATTAATAAATATGTTTGGATGACTCGCCGTAAACAAATACTTAAGAAATTAGTCTATAATCCTGTTACTTCTATTCAATTGTGGCCTTTTGCCAGACAAAGCTAATTTTGTGGAGATGGATCGTAAGTTAGGTTCTATAACTATGATTAATTCATTAATATATAAAGATTGTGATCCTCATTAAGTGTCCTGTACCAAGCTAAGGATAGGTAAATAGATAAAGTGTTCTTTGCTATAATATAATGGTTAGCTAACTAGCAGACCATTTTGACTTCGAAGCTGATTGCCTGCCCGAAATTCTTGACCTTGTGCCAGACAGATCTAACTTTAGTTAACATCTGTGATCTCAAAAATCCGTACGTTTGCTACTTTTTATAGAAAGCTTAACAGGACGATATTTTAATTATAGATCTTGTATCGGGGCGAATATTTTCCTTATATTTTCTGTCACAACACTATTGGATTTTATTTACTCAGGTTTGATAATTGGAGGTAAACTTTCGTAAAGAAGATGCGTTGTTGTCTTAGAAACAATTTTGATATGACGAGATTAGCTTTGAAAATAACTTTTCCTACAATTTTGCTCTACGGTGTCAGAAGCGAATGTTGGTGGTTTGGCAGTAGAAGTTGAACCTTTCCACAAGTAACCTATGTTGTTTTTTTTTTTACATTGATACACATAGCAGTCTAGCAAAATGGCAGGTTTATATTAAAATATATACGAAGAAGTTGTGTATCACTGAATTCATCTATGCAAAAAATTGTATTCGTTTACATTCATCGAAGTTTGCTGAACACTTACGGAGACCAAACAGTGCATCTGAGCGCAGTTAGGCAATGGATAATACGTTTCCTTTGTGGTAAACTTTTAGTGCAGGCTTTTCTTCATCGTTGACGCAAAAGCATAGCCAATGATGGTGACTCAGTTGAAAAAGCAGTCGCATTTTGGTGATGAAAAATTTGCTATTTTCAAAAGGCTGTTGTGCTTATGTTTTCCGGAGAAATAAAGAGTAAGCATTACTTTTAGAGCGTCACCCGTACAGCAACTTGGAATTCTTTGAGCCGTTAATAATTTGCAGGATAATGAAAA